GTGGTCCTCGTGAAGGTGTCATCAGGAAGAGACATTTCCGAGGAGGAGGCTAGGGCAATGTCATGGCAGGAAAAGGTGCTCTTGGTGCAAGCTGATCCCATCACTGTGACGAGGTACTTGCACCGCAGATTTAAGGAGTTGTGGAAAGTCATGAAATCAAGGGGAGGACCTTTAAATGAATACAAAATGGCCCAGCACTTCTTTCGTGTGGAGATGCAGCACCGTGGATCCATGCACTTCCACTGTTTACTCTGGCTTGACGGGGCTCCGCTGTTTGATCCCGCTGATCCAGGTAGCGAGGAGCGCTGCACTAACTTCATTGACGAGCTCATCACGTGCTTGCTAGACAATGAACTTGGCGACCTCATCAATGTGCAGTTCCATCGGCACAGCAGGACGTGCCGCAGACGAGTTGGAGGCAGGCAGGTGTGCAGATTCGGTGTACCCTTTCCACCAATGCGCCGCACTCGCATCCTGGTGCCGTTTGACGGGTCGGTCACTGAGGAGTTAAGGAAGCAGCTATCGGCAGAATACAACGCCCTGCAGCAGCGCATGCTGGCCCTGCACAAAGACAACCCAGATCTGTCTTTCGATCAGTTCCTTGAAGCGGTCGGGATGGATGAAGACCACTACACGGAAGTGATTCGGTCGCAGGTTCGGCAACCAAAGGTTTTTCTTCAGAGGGATCTGAGAGAAATAAAGTTGAATAACTACAGCAGAAAGGCATTGCCACTCAACGAGGGCAATATGGACATTCAATTTCTGCCAGATCCATATGGTGCTGCCGTTTACGTTGTCGATTATACAAATAAGTCAGACCGTGGCGTCTCGAAGATTATTAAGGAGACGGCGGACAAAGTGAGGGCCGGCAACGCACCGCTGAAGGAGCAGCTGCGGGCCATCAGCAATGTCTTTATCAATAAGTCAGAGGTGTCAGCGCAGGAGGCGGCTATGCACATTCTAGGACTTTCCATGGCCGAGGCTTCGGTGTCAGACGTGTACATTAACACATCCCCACCAGAAGAACGGGTGCGTCTGCAGAGGTCAGCTGCAGAGTTGCAGCGCCTCCTGGAGGAAGATCCTGACAGCACTGAT